AATGCCGAGAGGATTCACTTGAAGGAATTTTGGACGCAAAATGGTATAGCCGTTCACATGTTACAACTTCTTCTGAGAGTTTGGAAACAATTGAAAGTTTTGGTTTTGGAAACAGCATTGTAAGTCCTGCTACTAATCCGAAGAAACACCAGGAATCTTGGCTTGCGTTTTGTGATCAGTTCTACAAGGACCTCAATAAGCGGTGCCAGTAGTTTTAGCTGTCATTTGTTGCAAACGTGACCGTGTTTAGTAAATTTTAATGAAACAAGAAAGGACTATTGTCTCTCTAGATTAGGTTTAATTAGGTTGGTGTCCTTGGCTTCTATTCTTCTCTCTCTCTCGGTCAATTTCCCCTTCTTTTTATATTTATACTAATGTAGTGTTTAGCTGATTTTTTGCTGAGAGAATAAACAAATTGCATAGTACCAAGAAGAAAATAAGAATATTGTTTTATATATTTACTTATTTATTTTTGCTAAAGATAATATTATTGGTGATCTTTGGAAATGTCAAGATGGTTTGAACCTTTGATAATGTAAGCCCTTTTTGTTCCATCTTGGTTATGGAGGTATGTTGATATTATTTCTAATCCTTGTTCATTGTTCTCACAATTTCATTTAGAGGATGTTTGGTAGAGGGATTCGTTTCCTAATTCGAATCATGATTCGTGATTCGCTACAGTATTTTTTTTCACAAAAAATTCACGTAAATCAAAAATAATTCGAATCACATAGTTTAAATCTTCTAACCAAACGTCTTCATTGTCGGGAACTTGGGATGATAACATTAACAATGAAAGTTCTCCGTCCTTTTTTTTTATATTTTTTTTAAAAGAAAAACAGAAAGAAAAATATAAGCTCGCTTTGAGCGGCAGTTATTGGTGTGTAGGTAACACAGTGGACAAACTTCCACGTTATTAGTGTTAGTTTCATGTATTCCATTTGCCAGTTTTTAACACCACACACATAACCAACCAAATATAACCAATGAAACAATACACACCAAAAAAAAAAAAAAAAATGAAAAAAGAGAAAAAAAAATGAAAACCAACATAGATCAAAGAAGGAAGAGAAAAGAAAAGAACCGTCTTCTTCCCCTTCCTTTTGCATGGCACCCTTGTTGTACACCTTCATCTTCCTCGTCTTCGACCTCGTGCGCCTCTCAAACTCCGCGCCTTCGATGGAGCTCTTAACGCGGTCATGCAGAGACAAAGTTGTCCGCAACGTGACCAACTATATCGTCAACTATGAGAAGATTGTGGGGTCCATGGTGGAGAACATGGAACGAGACAAGTTTGCTATGGGGGAAATAGGGGACCCACCTGAACGTTTGTATGTTCTTTCCCAATGTACGGGAGATCTGTCCGGCAAAGATTGTTTGGCATGTTTTCATGAGATTAAAGAGATTTTGATGGGTTGTTTCCCCAACACCGGAGGCCGGATTTTCTTCGGCGGCTGCTACATCAGAGCTGAGAATTACCCCTTCTTCAATCTGCCCGTTGAGCCAGATGATCTGAGGGTAATTTAATTTCCTATTATCGTTATTATTAGCGTCTCAAATTCTATATACTGTTCGTTTATAAATTCTGTTAATTTTAGGCTTTAGCCCTCTTTATGACTCAACGTTAAACGATAGGATAAAATGAAGTTTTCTTTTTCTTCTCCTTTTCTTTTTGTTGAAAATGCCTATTGAAGAGCATAACTTATTCACATTCTCATCTCTTTAGGGCAAACCCCTCGCTTTGGACTACTAATGAATTTAAAGATCAACTTTCTAACTATAACAAGTTTTATTATTATTATTTTTCTTTCTTTCTTTTTTCTTCTGAAGGTTCTAGCTATAACCAGAGAAATAGTACGGAAAAGGAACATTTGCAAGCATGATTTTCGTTTATATTTAATTTCTTAACAAACTAGTTCGTAGCTTTCATTGATCTCTTCAGTTATATATATTGCCTTCATATACTACTGACTAAAACCTAAAGGACATTTTCCCATTTTTTTGTTTCCTCAATAATGCTATTATTATTATTCTTATTATTTTTTCCATCTAGCTCAAACAATGTTTTTATTTTTTTATTTCTTCCCCTTGGCCTCATTGTTACCCTAGTTTCATGTATATATATGTGCTTAGGGCCTCATATGTACTTATTCTTTAAAATTCCTATAATTTAATTCCTGACATTTTCTCCTTCTGATCGGTCTGACATAGAAATGCGGTGATAGCGTCAATACGCAGCCGGAATTCAGCGACATGGTGAGGAAAAAGATCAACGAGCTGGTGAGGTCAACCGCGGAAAGTGGCTCCGGAGTGGCCTACAAGAGGACGCGTCATATATTTGTCCTTGTCATGGCTACTTGCTGGAAAACTATGGACCGCAACATGTGCAATGTGTGTGTCGAGAAGGCAGCACAAGTTTGCTCTTCATGTCTACCCTCTACTGAGGGACGTGTGCTAAATTCTGGCTGCATCTTACGTTACGCCGATTACGATTTTGGGAACAACCGTGCCCTAAGAGCCAAAGGTTACTCCAAAATTATAGTCTTAATTGAATTATCTAGTTGGTCTTTAAACTACGCTAAGAGTCTCATTTCATCCCCCTAAACTTAAATTAGGCCCTAAAGCTAATTTCTGTTAAGGAAAAAAAAAAAAAAGGAGCACGAGAAAAATGTGCCAACTAAATTTCTTGACAGAGACTGAGTAATATTGAAGTTTAGGGACTAATAACTCCGAGATATTGAAGTTTAGGAACTAAAATGAAACTCTTAATATAGTTATGCAATATTATTAAAAAATTTTAAAATGGTTTTTTAATTAATTTTTTCGTGATCTAATGTTTGAGTCTACTAAATAACGTGGTACAAATTGGTTCACTAGAAACCGCTTGAGACACCAAAGATTACACACATAATCTGAATTCATTATAACTAACACTAGTATTCAAATGGGTTTTCTTGTTTCTTTGTGTAATTTGATTGCTAATAATATATATGGTGTTGGAATTGAAATCAAGTTGCCACACTCACAAGTGTCACGGATGCTTACTGCAGATATTATGTTAATATATGCAACGTACGTCTTTGTTGGGCTTTCCATCAGCGCACTGATTGCTGCAGTGGGAATCTATGTGAGCAGAACTACATACAAGCGAAAGATTCGCCGCTGGAAAACACATAGTAATCAACAATTAATATTTTCCAACGATTAATTCCTCATTTTCTTTCATTTTCACCCCTTATCAAAATAGTATCGAAAAACAAAAAGCTTCTTGTTTTGTTTGTTTTAGATAAAGGGATGCACATGGATTTCTCAGTGACAAAGAGGGGCTTGAACTTCTTGGAGTTCAAGTTCTCAACACTTGAGAAAGCAACAGAGTGCTTTGATGAGGCCCACAAGCTTGGTCAAGGAGGCTATGGTGAAGTATTCAGGGTATAACACATAGGGGGTATAATAATTAAATGTTTGGCATAAGGTGTTATTAGTTTAGCCAAATGTTTGATATTAGTATTTTTCATTAGACAAAGTTAGGTGGCATGTCATAACCTTTATATGTTTTTGAATTTATACCACAACCTTTTTATGGTTCAGATTTATGTCACGTTTTGTTGACATGTAACTAGTCTATTATTATGACACAAATCTAAAACTCCGGTATTTGTTGCTTAAATCCAAAAGTGATTTTTTGTGGCATTCTTGAGAATTTACTTTTTCATAATTTAATCGCTAAACTTTTCTCTTTTTTTTTTTTAAAGGCATATTAGTTCCTAAATTTATTTATTTACTTACGTTTAGCAATTTTGATCTCTCATTCTAAAATACTTTTGAAATATAATAAAAATAATTACATGTCTACCGTCACAATATTATTAATAGTTGATGGACTAACAATGTTAAGAACTCTTATGAGACAATCTACCTTTTAAGGAATCTTTCAAAAATTAAAAAATAAACGAAGTAAACATTATGTTGTTGCCCATACTTGAAGTTAATAATTTTTTCTTTGTTTATATTCTTATTTCCGTAACTGATCATTATGATATTATATGCACCTGGGCAGGGAAAGCTGGCTGATGGTAGAGAAATAGCGATAAAACGTTTGTTTGCAACTGGAAAAACTCAGAGTGAAGTGATTTGCAACGAAATCGATGTCATAAGTAGTGCTCAACACAAAAACTTGGTTCGCTTCCTCGGTTGCTGTTTCACTACTACAAACAGTTTCCTTGTTTATGAATTCCTTGTCAACAAAAGCCTTGACCGTATTTTATTTGGTAAGCCATCAATATTAGTACAACTACTTGGACTTTTGTTTATTTTTTCTTTGAAACTGGGATTGGAGAAATTCAAACTTAAAACCTCAAACCATTTCTTTTATTTTTATTATTTTTTTTGAAATTTAATGAATATTATTAGATATATTGTATCATTGTAGCTCTATGATTCATAGTATTATTTTTCTATTTGATCCTTTTGAATTTTATATCCGAAGTTGAATTTTAATAAGATCTACTCACTTTTTTGGATTTAAACCAATTATTCGCGTCGTATAAAAGAAAAATATTAATCTAACCACTGAGTGTACGAGGTGGATGCTTTCTCTATAAAATGTCTAAAAACTAACATGTTCTTAAAAAAATAATGGTCTACTGCTGAAAAGTATCATTATGGTGCATTATTTCTTCATTTTTAATCACGCTTGCTTTCTGAATATCATTTTTGAAATAAAGTTTTGACATTTCCATTTGTTCCATGTGTTTGCCAGTCCTTTCTGACTTCAACATTATACAAAAAGTCATCATAGACGTATATATAAAAACTATATATATAGATAAAGAATAAAGATATGTAGATGAGTTTCTAGAACAAATTGGGATCTGTATACTACACCATTAATTAGTTTGATAGGTTTGATACTTTGACTGATGTCGTTTTGTTGCAAGATTTACATTTATGATCTAATTGTGCCGTCTGTTGAAGGAAGACTCAGAGAGGAAGAAAGAATTAGACTGGAAAAAGAGACTGCAGATAATCGTAGGAACAGCTGAGGGTTTGGAGTACCTCCACAAAGGCTGTCAAATGAGAATAATTCACAGGGACATCAAAGCAAGCAACATTCTATTGGGCTCGAGATTTAAACCAAAAATCGCTGATTTCGGCTTGGCAAGGTTTTCTTCATGTGGCAGAAACCTTTCTGGTGCCACCATTGCGGGAACATTGTACGTGACTAATTATGCCGTTCATAAGTTTTCAGTTTTTTTTTTCATTTTTTTGACTAAAAACTTTCTTGTTAAGTGACTTGATTGACGTGGTTTGAACTAATTGATACCGTTTTCATGACTTTTAGTGGTTATTTGGCTCCTGAATACCTTGCTCAAGGAAGATTAACCGAAAAAGTAGATGTTTATAGCTTTGGGGTTCTTGTGTTGGAGATAGTAACTGGTGTGAGGAACAACAAATTGAATCCCAATGCTCCGTTTGAAACGCTAGTTGCTCATGTAAAACTCTCTTAACCTTGAATCCACACATTGATATAGGAATTGTCTTTTTTAAGTCTAGCACTCGGACTTGTTAAACATGTGTAACTTTTCTCTTATGTTCACATAATATCGTTTGTATGTATGTGTAACACTCAAGTTACTTTAGTCCAACATATATAACATTGAGTGTTTATATGTGAAAAAAGTTATGACCGTCAGACTTAAAACTTTACCTATATATAAGAGACACTTTTAGATAATTAGTTCCATTCCTTTGTTTGTAACTTTTTCTTTGTGTATGCATGATTCAGGCGTGGAAACACTTCCAATCAAATACAGTGTTGGAGATCATAGAGAAAAGCATGGAAATGGAGATTAAAGACATTGAAGAAGTGAAAAGAGTTGTGCAAGTGGGCCTATTATGTACCCAAGAATCACCATCTTTACGTCCTAGCATGACAATTGCATTACAAATGCTTAAACAAAACGACATCGAATTGCCAACGCCATCCAAGCCTCCTTTCATTGATGAACATTTGGAATTATCTTCTTCATCGGACTCTTGTCGGTGTCAACCTTCATGCATATCTGATTTATGTACACGCACGCCACAAAACGTTCTAACGCTACAATGATTAAATCCTAGAATTGTTTTTCTGTTTATAATAATACAGTTAGATATCATGTACCTTTTTTTTTTTTTTGAAAGGAATGTACCATATGTTTTTATTATAATTTTAATTTTGGACACTTCTTCTTTTTTTTTTTTTTGGTGGTCCTAAAGTAGCCGAGTTTTTTGAATTTTTAAAGAGAATCCCATTATTGTCGTAAATTTCGGTTTGTTTCGTACTTCAACGTTTCAATTCTCAAGTGGTTTAGAATTTTGAACATGGCAAGGCGAAAATATAGAAGACACACCATTAAGTAGTGCGGGAATTGATCATTTTTTGGCCGATTTGGGTCTCTTCGCAGAGAAAAAGTAAAATGGTTTAACTTAATTACGAAGGAAGACAAAAAACAATTTTGACTTTTATTCTCCAAAATGTCAAAGATACTGTATAGTTCAAGTGGTAATGATTCCGTCCATGTAAAGAGGTTGCACTATCATTTTTTTTTTTATTTTTTTTTTTTTTGTGAACGACTCGGAGGCTCTTTTTGGAAGTTTTTAGTCGTCGGGTAGTGGTCTTTGCTGTGCAATTTGTTTATCAAACTTTTTGGGGAGAAGGAGATAAATGCCAACGCCAATTTTTTTTTTTTTTTTAAGTGGATGTTTAGTTCATGAATTTAAAATTATTTTTTATTTATGTGTATTTTTTGTGTGAAAAAATACTGTAGCGAACCATGATTTGAATTATTGTACGAATGCTGGCATATGTTTTAGAGAAAAAGAGAGAAATAGGCCAAAACTTAAGATGAATTAAAATTAATAGGTCAATAATTTACATAAGTTAATAAATAGGCCAAATTACTGTTTTCGTCCATAACTTGTCTAGTTATGAACCATCACTTGATAAGTTATTGTTCATAATCGTTCATAACTTGTCTAGTTATGAACCATAACTTAATAAGTTTGTCCATAATTTATCTGGTTATAAACCATAACTTGATAAATTATGACCTATTCATTTCTATAACTAAAAATTACTCTATATACTTTCTTAAGCTTTTTATATTAGCTTATTTTCTACTATTTCTCTATGTTTTTTAGTACTAATAAATCTTGAGAAAATAGGCGAAGTGGGCTAGCTTTAGCTACTTTTTTTTTAATATTTCATGTTATTCAGAAAAATAACCGATAATTGGTTAATCAATTAGTAATTGATGGAAAAATCATGGAGAACAATAGTTAGACATTAAAATCTTGAGAAAATAAGCAAAAGATTCACAAGGAAACCAACATATAAGCTTGAAAGCAAGCAAGCAAAGAGTCGAAGTACAAAAAATTTAAAACCAGCATCCGCATTTTTTATAATAAATAGATATGTTTTAGTACCAATAAAATCTTGAGAAAATAGGCATAGTGCGTTAGTTTTAACTACCCTTTTTTAAAAAAAAGTAAAGATATTTTTTTTTTTAGAAAAATAACCGATAATTGGTTTATCAATACATAATCAATTAGTAATTGATGGAAAAATCATGGAGAACAATAGTTAAACAATTGCCGTATTTTAAATCGTCGTTATATCTTTATCACGAATTATGAAATTATTATTTTTTCTTAATAATTTAAATTATATTACACATAAAATACTATTTTTGTATGAAAATTTTCTAGCTGCACATGATAAAATTTATTCCAATTCAACGTGGGATTGTCCGGAGGGCTAGAGAATGTTCGTCCACTGGATCCCAAAAAGAAGTGACGCAGAAATCTCGCTATGGAATGGCGTATTCTCTGGTCTTTAAAACGCACTCTCCCAAAATAAATAAATAAATAAATAAATCGGACTTTCCCAATAATCTAGTGCATTTATCACTGCAAAAGGTGTTCATTGGATTGACTTTTCTTACAAAGTACACGTGGCCAATATAATAGTCACCTAAAGAGAAAAATGCATGTCCAACTAGTGGGTCCCACGTTACGGTGCGTTTGGTGAAGCCGTGGCCAGCTGAGACTCTCTCTATTGGTTGACCGACAAGTGCCGCCGATGAACATTCTGATTTCTACCCAGAAGTCATAAGAGGAGAAAAAGATGGGAGAGAAAAATAAAATAAAATTCAAACTTGGAATTTTTTTTTTTTTTCCCCAAGTAACAAACTTGGAATATTTAAAAGTAACTAGGGCTTATTCTTTTAAGCGAAAAATTAAAAAAAATGTAACTCGAGTTATAATTTTATTTGAGTTTATATTTTTTTAAGTTTAAACTTGAGTTCAAACTCAAATTTAGGATTAAAACTCGAGTTTATAACTTTCTCCTTCAACTCGAGTTCAGAAACTCAAACTCAAATTAATGAATAATATTTTTTTATTCTTAAAAATGTTATAGCTTTTTCGTTTTAATTCTGATTGAGATGATTTTTTTTCTATACGTTGACAACGAAAAGACAAATAAAACCCGACCCATATACCATATTAAAATTTTTCATCAGCATTGAGTTTTTATTAAAATACTATCTAAATACAAATTCAAGTTTTGACTCACTCAAACACAAACTCAAAAAGATTTTTATCTCAAATCATAATTTAAATGTACACAACCAAACACAAACTCAAATTACAAGTTTAACTCAAGTTATAACTCAAATTTAACTCAAAAATTATACTCAAATTAAATTTTAAAAGAACAAGCCCTAAAATCGTTGCAAGTTTTAACCTACTAATTTGAAGTCAAAAAGCAACTTAGCTTGAATAATGGGAGAGCTAAGTTCTAGAAGAGAGGGCTTGGGGAAAGAGTCTAAAGGAGTACCATAATAAAGAAATTATTATTATTTTTTTTTTTTGCTAATCAATAAAGAAATTATTCTTATTCGGTCCATTTGGAAACAGCGAAGATCGTAGAAAAAAAATGTGGCTGACCAATAAAATAATAAACACATTCTGGAAGCACCAAAGAGAAAAATAATAATAATAATAATAATAATAATAAGCGTGGCTTCTCATAATAATAGTAAAAAAAAAAAACCCTTCTCTTAAGTCTAGGTCTTTACATTAATTATAGAGTTAAGTCAATGTCAAATTTAACAACAAATAGAAATATAGAAAAAATAGATAATTTATTTTTAAGAGTGTATAAGTTTAAATTTTTACTTCTCACTCTTGATAAATATATTTTTATTAGTGTAATTATTTAATTAAAAAAATTATGAATAAAAAATAAAAACTAAAAATTATGATCCTTACACTTTTAAAAATATTTATCAAGAAGTTTAGAGCTAAATCACTTTCAATTTTTTTTTCCAACTCACGTGGCACGGTGATAGTTGAGGTATATTTTAGTTATTATAAAAATTATGATCGTTACATTTTTAAAAATATGTATCAAGATTACTTGTCGTATACTTAGAGCTAAATCACTTTCGATTTTTTTTCCAACTCACGTGGCACGGTGGCAGTTGAGTTAAATGTAATTTTCAATATTTATAACGTGACAGCTAAAATTTAATTAAATTGGTCCTTTAGTACTATTAAATCCAAAAAGTGGAAGTGGAAGACAAAAAAGATAAAGATGAAAGATAAAGAATAAGAAGCCGTCAAATTTGCCAACAAATTCATATTAACACCCTTCTCTCTCCCTCTCTCTCTCTCTCTCTCTCTCTCTCTCTATTCTCCTCTGCAACTCCATGTATGAGATCGTCTCATCAAAACACAAGCCACGAATTCCATGCAAAACAATAACAAATACCCAACAATCCCATATAAATTATAATTAACACTTTTCTCTCTCTCTTTAACTCCAAGCCATGAAGAATTCCATGCAAACCAGCTCAGTATATCTCTTTTTCTTCTTCGTATTATTCTTGTTCTCCTTCTTCTTCTCTACATCTCTCTCCGATCCCCGAATCTCGGAAGCCGAGCTCTACTGCGGCGACGGAAGATCCCCTGCAAATACCAGCATCATCCCAACTTTCACGAAAGTTATGCAGAACTTATCACAGGTAATGAACACCAGCTATTGGGCCGCAAACTCCATCAACTACTCAAGCGCTCCAAAAAAGTCTATCTACGTCCTCTCTCAGTGCCACGAGGACCTCTCCCACACCGACTGCCTCCTCTGCTACGCCGCGGCGCGGACGCGCATCCCCCGCTGCCTCCCCTCCCCCTACGCCCGCCTTTTTCTCGACGGCTGCTTCCTCAGATACGACAACTACAGCTTCTATGGCGAGAGCGTCGACCCGGTTCACGACACGGTCAACTGCTCGTCCAGGTTTGGGGCCGTGCAGGGTGCGAGTGAGAAGAAGAAGTTTCTGGAAGATGTTGGGTTTGTGGTTGGGAATGTGACGAGGTTGGCGCTTAAAAATGGCGGGATCGGTGTGGGTGAGGTTAAGGGTAAGGGCGTGTTTGGATTGGCGCAGTGTTGGGAGACTGTTGGGGAAAGTGGGTGTAGGGTATGCTTCAGGAAGGCGACTTCGGAGATTAAAAAGTGTGGGGCCAGTAGGGAAGGGAGGAGTTTGAATGCAGGGTGTTATTTGAGGTATTCTACTGAGAAGTTTTATAGTGATGGGAAAGAGGCAAATAGTGGAGGAAGTAAGTGATTTTGGTAGAAGTCAATCAGTTTTCTCAGTATCCAAACAAAGCCTTATGATTTTTTTTTTTTTTTGAATTTGTTTATGTTTCAGGTTCTTCAAGAAGCAGAGGAGTTATTATAGCAATTGTTCTAGGAGTAGTTGCATTTGTGATATTGTGTCTGTTTGTTGCTTATGCAGCCTATACAAGAGTATCAAAGACTAGAGCAAGTATGTACTAAACTACTGCCTTAATTGTATTGTTATGATACTATGATATGACCCTTTTTCTTTTTCTTTCAAATTCTTTGTGTAGGACGCAAGAATCTCGAGCAGGTTTCGATCTCGATTCGCAAGTCTAGCTTGAATTTCAAGTACGAAACGCTCGAAAGAGCCACAGATTTCTTCAATCCTTCGACGAAAATTGGGCAAGGTGGGGCTGGTTCTGTGTTCAAGGGGACACTTCAAGATGGGCAAATTGTGGCTGTCAAGAGACTCATCTTTAATACAAAGCAATGGGTGGATGAGTTCTTTAATGAGGTTAACTTAATCAGCGTAATTCAACACAAGAACCTTGTTAAGCTTCTTGGTTGTAGCATTGAAGGACCAGAGAGCTTGCTGGTCTATGAGTATGTGCCCAACAGAAGCCTGGATCAGTTTCTTTTTGGTAATTGCTCTTTCTTTTACATTTGTAGGATCCCCAATTCAATGAAATGAAATTCTAGTTACAAATGGAATGATTTTCTTTTCGTAAGAGTTAAAGCTCTGGAAAGGGATGGTCGGCGTTAGCGAATCCTCTGAAAGTTGCCAAAAGCACTTAAAATTTTGCAATGGAAAGGCTATGATACTTAATTTTGACATGTATGTGCAGAGAAGAACAAGGTTCAGATTCTGAACTGGAAGCAGCGGCTCAACATCATTGTTGGTACAGCTGAGGGGCTTGCATTTCTTCATGGGGGGTCTAAAGTGAGAATAATTCATAGAGACATTAAGAGCAGCAATGTTCTTCTTGATGAGGATCTTACTCCAAAGATTGCAGACTTTGGGCTTGTGAGGTGTTTTGGTGCTGACAAGAGTCATCTCAGCACTGGGATTGCTGGAACACTGTAAGCGATTTATTTTCTTACCTACTTTCCTTGCATTTTGTCCTCTATAGGGTAAGACAATAGACAAGAGCTGAAAATTTGGTCGGTTAGATTCTAAATATAACTTTTTTTTTTGGGCTAAGATGAAAAAAATATCTCACTTATACTATGCTGTTTTGGACCGTTAAATTTTTATCAAATTATGTCAATTTTACATTTCAAAACATGTACTATCAGTGGAGTATCTCTGTCTTTACTTTAGAAAGCTCTAAATAAATAGATCGTAGTCATTTTCTCATTTTCCCACCTAACTACTTTCCCAAAAGGCAGTTTCCCAACAATAATGTACTTTTAGAAAAAGTACCTTTTCTTCCCATTTCCATCTAATGAATATGATGCACATCACATTGTGACAACAGTGGGTACATGGCTCCAGAATATCTTGTTAGAGGGCAACTCACAGATAAGGCAGATGTGTATAGTTTTGGGGTGTTGGTTCTTGAGATTGTTTGTGGCAGAAGAAACTGCGCCTTCACACAAGACTCAGGCTCTCTTCTACAAACAGTAAGCATCTCAAACAATATCTAACAAAAATTCTTATACATATAGTTGAATAAGATCTTGAGACAAAATGGGATTTTTTTTTTTTTTTTTTTGTGACTTTCAGGTTTGGAAGCTCTACAAATCAGATAAATTGGTTGAAGCTGTTGACCCTTGCTTGAATGGTGATTTCCCATCAAATGAAGTGTACAATATGCTTCAAATTGGGCTTCTTTGTACACAAGCCTCAGTTGCTTTGAGACCATCCATGGCTGAAGTAGTTTCAATGCTAACCAACAATGAAAAGGAAATACCAACACCAAACCAACCCCCTTTCCTAAACGCCAGCGTTTTGGGCCCAACTACCTCTAGTAAGTCCTATAGCACACAGAGCATGGTATCAAATCCACTAACAAGAGCTGAAGCCTCTTGCACATCCACAGAGATGACGTCTACTTCAAACAACTCAGATGGGCCCACAAGAGTGTGAAGAATTGGACGATCCTACGGTAGATCCCACCTTTTTTTTTTTTTTGTTTTTTTTAACGTTCTGTTTATTCCAATTTCAGCCATTGAATGATAAAAAGAGAGTTTTTTAGCTAACAAAATTTTTTTTTTTCAACAGCTGAGATCGTTTCTTCCTATCATCTGGCGGCCGCAATTCGGGCGGCGTGGTATTTTTGAGATGCACCATAGTTTTCACGTGGAGAATTTATAAATAGACTCAAATAGAGGCAGTCCAACTACTACTTCACTGCGTCAAGAGAATGATATTGTCGTGTGACGGACGCCAACCTTGAGTGACGATCACTTCAGAGAAAAAATAAGCATGGAAATAGAAATCTCACCAAAAGGGATTACACGTTATTTAGACAGCTTTAGCTACACAGATCATCACAACATGGGGGTTGCATTCTTTAACCTCGATTTTGGGATAAGGAGATTATGTGAAGACAAATCTGAATTGATTGCTGACTAATAAATTTCTTTTTTTATTTATTTATTTATTTTTTTTTTCCTTTCGTAAAAGAAAGTTCTATATTTCGGATACCTCAAACTTTTTTATTTTATTTTATTTATTACACATAATTTCTCCTAACTTGATGCATCATAAATTTCAAAAGTAGGAGGTGGGGGTAGTTGGTGAGAACCGGGTAGTCATAATTTGATATCAGCCCCACTGATGTGCTTATTTCATTTTCTCTTCTTCATATTTTAATTTTGTAACAGTTAAAAGTTTTCATAAAAAATCACGTTTAATTTTTTTTTGTTACAGTAAAAAACTATAACATAAATCACATCTCAGCTCAAATTAAAAACTCAAATCAACGAACTAAACGATGCCTTATTTTCTTCAACAAAATCTTTTTTTAGCTCGACGCTGGGTTCCACCACTATGTGAGCCATGTGAGTGACGAGATCTTAGTGCTATTTACGTGCACATTCTTCTTAAGACTATATTCAAGCACAAAAACTGAAACGAATCTGTACAAGGTGAAATATGTGATTGTCTTGGGACAGGTACACTGCGTAGTTAAGTGTTCTTTCACTATTGAATTATATACAACATATTGGTAGTAGTTGTGTAATAATACTAGATATGACAGCTTGAATTGACTCTATAATTTGTAAGCTTGCATAAAATTTGTATTCCACGTAAGGCCTTAATTATAAGAGAATCATAAATGCAGGGATTGATAGTTTGGATGAGGAGATTTAATTTTTGCCAACTTATTTCCCCTTGTGTGGCGCTAATTTATTTGCTTTAGCTGGGACCATGTATAGGCCGGTTTTTGTGACCAAAACGCTGAACACATTCCTGCCTAGAAAATGAAATGCTAACTATATTGGAACATAAATTATAATTTATGTGGTAGCAAAAGTTTTGCCTCATTTAATAGTTGGCCAAAATTATATCCTTGAAATCAGCCTTTTTGGGACAATATCAACTGATTAATGAAAAGAACCAGATATCAACTGATATTAAATGGCAAGACATCAAGAAAACGACATCAAAGAGGAGGTACTTGACCGGTTTTTTTAGCATATTATGTTTCTTTGAACGGAAACCATTTCATTGCTAATAATAGTTTTAAAGGATCGAAACTTTATAACATTCACCGTATGATGAGAATGCATCCAAATATAAACCACCTAAGACCTGTCACAATCTCCTAATCAATCACAAGCCTTATTTCCACTGCGTTTCTTACCCAAAGCTTAAGAGAATTAATTTACAAAACACATGAATTCAACTTCGGTACAATTTATTAAACCCATGGAACGAACTACAAAATCTGATTATACCATGCAACGTGCATGGTTTTTTCAGATGTACGTCGAATTACGGTTAAAAAAAAAAAAAATGAAGTCGAAAAACTTTTATTATTAGAAATTTAGAATCCATGCGATCAAAGTAGCTCAAATTCAATGATTTGTCCATTATCCAATGTCCGATAATTCTGTGATCCATCATTCGACACGTAGGAAATTATTTGCACGATACAAGGTCGTACCATATTTCCTGAAGAAAACACATATAGGATAGAACTCCAACTGATCATGTCTAAAATATAGGCCCTCAAAGTACAAAGTAAGCTTAAGAGTGCATAAACTTAATATATTTGTATCATGATTTAAATTATATTTATAATTTATTATAATATTTTCTCTTAAAAAAATACACATAAATTAAAAATAATTTTAAATTATAATTTTAAATTCATAAACCAAACTCTCTTGATTATGAATACCTAAAAGAAACCATACACAACACAAAAAAAAAAAAAAAAATCTACTCTTCTTCTTTTTCTTTTTTCTTGGGGCTTGGGAACTGATCATACAGTAGTATTCTACTCATCTTCTTCCACCACAAGCAGCCATGTCTACCTTCCAAAACTAGAAGAAGAAGAAGAAAGAACCAAAACTAGAAGCTAAACTTGTGGGAATTGCACGTACCTCGAGAGATATGGAGGTGGTGATACAAAAGCAGCAACTTTTTCATTATTTATTTATTTATTTTTAATATTCCTTTTTTCTTTCCAGAAGCTACGCGAACCTGGATGAATTCACGTCAATTTGTATTGCAACACGTGTTACCACGTGTCGGAGAGTCATGTCATATTATGATTAGTAACAGAAATTCAAACTTGGCGGCAGACTGATGTTTGCATCATTCTCGGCAAATTGTCTCTCTTTGCGATTGTCGTTTTTTTTGTTGTCGTTTTCTTGCAGTGTCGTTGGTATTAAAAATAATTGTCGTTTTGTTTTCAACGAGTTTTATGTTTTTATTTATTTATCTTTTTTTTTGGGGAGATAATTTGATGAGTTCTTGGCATCTTGCTTTTTGTTAAGTCATTGCGTCTCGTCTCACTGTTACTTTACGTTACTGTTGGTGTTCATTTGATTTGACGTCATCTTATGAGTTTATTGTCGTTTTTAAATTCTTGTCATTTTCTTCTCAAATCTTATCGTTTTCTAAAATTAAATTTTCTTTTCCTTGGGGTAAAATCGTTTCGTTCTCAGATATTTTTTCCGCTTTGTGATTTTGTTGTTATCCTATTAGTCTTTGCCGTTTCTTGATTTTCGTGGCTTGTTTTTTGGAGTTTTTTTTGTCGTTTTTCACTTAATTGTCGTATTTATATTCTTGTCGTTTTCTTCTCAAATTTTGTCGTTTTTTATTTTTATTTTTTTTACAAGGTTAAAATCGTTTCGTTCTCAGATATTTTTGCCGATTTGGTGTTTTGTTGTTATCCTATTAGTCTTACCGTTTCTTGATTTTCATGGCTTTTTTTTTTCTTTTCTGAGTTTGTTGTCGTTTTTCACTTAATCGTCGTTTTTAGACTCCTGTCGTTTTCTTCTCCAATCTTGTCGTTTTCTGAAATCATTTTTTGTTTTACAAGGGAAAAATCTTTTCGGTCTCAGATACTTTTGCCGATTTGGTGTTTGTTTGTTATCCTATTAGTCTTTGCCTTTTCTTGATCTTCATGCGTTTTTTTTTTTTTTAGTTTGTTGTCTTTTTTCTACTGCATTTTATTTTAGCTAACGGTGAATTTTTTTTTTTCCCGAAACAAGATCGTTACTCGAGGCGATTAGCAAAAAAGACCGTTACTCCAGGTGGGGAACAGAAGCTTTTTTTTTTATAATTAAATTACTGTTGTTGCTGAATGCTGAGATAGAAAGCCTCAGTTATAACGAAGCTTAACCGCAATAGTTTCCTTTCTTTCTTTTTTTTTCCTTCCGACAAAATTCTCATAGCTTGAATTCACTGAATTCCAACTCTTTATTTTTATTTATAGGTATTAGCAATTAAAAAAAAAAAAACTCAAAAAATGTCTTTGGCATGGAATTTTCTATGATATAAGTACAATAGCGAAAGTTCCATAGCTGCCGACCAAAAACAATGGGAGCAACCAGGATCTGGAAACGGGAAAGAAATGCCATCCACAGTCAGAATCTAGTGCAATAGCATACTAAAATCAAACTCATGAACCCATCCAGATATTCTCTAGTTTCCCATGGCAATGGCAAACAAATCAAAGGAAGGAAAAGACGCTCTCAAACCCAAGAAATGATTGTACCATCATGCCGTTGCCTGGCGTTTCCAATGAGCAGCGCTGGTTCTGTGGCACACTCGGAGACTGTTGCTGCTTCCCTCTATTCTCCATTTTGCTGCGTTGGTCAGTCGTTTCATTCTTTTTCTTCAACATTGAGATATCAAACGACAGCATTTTTGTAGATGGCATATCACCATCAGTGCTTGAAACTCTAGGAGAAGCATTTAACTTCCCATATTCTTGGCCAGAATACATGTTATGTTTCATCCTTTTTCCCCGCCTTATGTCGAAATCATAGTCGGTTTCCGAATCAGATAATGTGATTATCGCATCTTCACTGCAAATCTCGAGCTGTCTCAGAGGCAAACGTTTATTTGTCTGGATTGAAGGCTCGGACTGATTCGGCATCTTACCAAACTGGGGAAAATCCTTGGCTTTCTTGCGTATGTGATCGAATATTGTCTCTTCAGTTAAAGTTTTGACCATCCCTTCTTCAGCTTCAGAGGAAAGCCCACCTTCAATGATACAACAAACGATAAAGAACTCCACTTGAAGAGAGTAAAAGAAAAGAAATGATAAGAGTGTTGTTTGGTGTAAGAATGCACCTCTTTCTTCCATCAAGTTGAAGGGCCATGAGCTTGTGGCTGTAATATTGTTTTGTGGAGATGGAGAATTTTTAATGTTCTGCTTGTTCGGGTCTCCCTCACTGGTTTCTACAGATGGTTTGACGACCAAAGTCTGTCTTTGACTTCTGTTCTTTTCTATCTCTTCCAAAACTTCTATTTCCCTAAGGAATTCGAGCTCCTCCTCCCGAGTGCGCTTCCTTGCAAGATTCAGGGTCTCAGTTGATGGCAGATAGGCAATACTTGATGCTGCCAAGTCGGGGAAGCTTTTGGCCTTTTCACGTATGTGATCAAATATTTTTTGTTCTGTTGTGATTTTGGTTTTGTCTTCGTTAACGTCGACAGGAGGCTCAACTTCATTTATTAGAGGTAGAAGTTATTAGTTAATGGAAATAACGGAACATGAAAAATATGAAAAATTACATATCATGAATACCTTCATCAAACTCTGCACCTAGAAACTTGAATTTGGGCCTGGGATGGAAAGCACAGGGGATTAAACAGATTAAATTTTCAGATCTCTTTAAAAGTAGCAAAAAGTCAGAAGGAAGAAATAGACCAAGGAAAAATGTAAAGTTTCCGTAGAGAAAATATTTACATTGAATCATCTATATCTTCGGATATTGTAGGGCTGCAGGGCCTTTCAGTTGGGGCTTGAGATATAGTTTCTTCATCGTCGTCTATAACACATACTTCCTGAGTTGGAGCAAAAGAGGAAAGCTGTGTTTTTCCCCTTTTGACGTTGAAGTTTAAGTTGCTCACTTTTGTCAATATAAGTTTTTGGTGGAGATCAATGCCAACTACATGAAAGAAACCAAGTTATAAATCACTAATGATCCACTGCGTGTTAAAGTCGCGAAATCTCTAGACATTCATGAAAGAGGCTTTACTGTATTCTTCGAAAATAAGATCAGCCTTAACAGTCAGCTTTCCTTGCTGGGGGTGTGACAGGTGAATTACCGTGCTATAGGGGCTGCAGTAAAAAGAAACGACCTCATTCTCATGTTATGCCCAGGAAATCAATTATTTTATCAGAAAAGTATGAATTTAAAAAAAAAAGTATCAAATTTTAAAGTATAAATTTTAAATTTTAAGTATAAATTCTCGGTGGAGAGAATTTCCATTTCATGCCAGTAAGTTAATCTTCCTTGTCAATGGATTCTCAAACTCTCAAGTCAAGTATCATTTTCGTGATTTTCGAATAAATAGAGAACAGTTGGGACTATGTATTAATCTCTAACAAGCTACTCGGTCTTCATTGCAGAGAAGAGAGTTAGGATTTAAGTTTGCATACCTGGAGAACTCATCCACTCTGCGGCAACAAGACAGATAAAGTTAACATACTATACAATGGTGATTGAGAAACAAAATGATCAAGGAATCAGGCATAGTCAAAGTCACCTTATTTTCTCATGCAAGACAATCAGGTTATCTTCTTCAGAACCAAATATCTGTTAAGAGTAAATCTTCATTAACAGACTACTCACCAATAAATCAACACTGCATCACCAAATTTAAAGAAAATTCTCAAGGAAAACTCTAGACAACATACCATGTTGGCATAATGTCGTTTCATTGACTGAAGAGGTTCTGAGATCCTTGTCAATGTTATCACTAGCTTTGACTTCCCTCGCATCTGGCATTCAGTTTCCTCAACTTTCATTTGGACTTTTGGAGGAAGTGACAGTAAAGAGTCTTTGATATGATTCCCAAATGGGTATTTTCGACCGGTGACTATCTCTATCCTCCGAGGATCAGCTTCAGCCAGTGCCTCGAATGATTTAATTTCCATTGAATGTAGTGCCTACAATGGACAATAGGGGCTTGCCAAGAGTCAACAATAGGGACCCAATTTTCGGACAGCAATCAAGAAGTCGTAGAGCAGACCTTGGCTGTCACCATGCCTATCCCAGGTAATTGTTTCAACAGATAAGGACTGTCATCCCAGAGTTTTTGATGCAATGACTTGGCTAGAAGGGCTGAATTCAATGCTCCTTTGTAATTCTTTTTGTAAATAAAATACTCCTTCATGCACTTTGCAATTCTGCAGCCATTTGCGCATATAGAATTCACGTCCTACAGCATAGAAACCAGTGACTTGAAGCTAGCTCTGAGCATCAAATGCAGCAAAATGTATGCACTGAAATTATTGTACAAACGAAACCTGGGTCAGGGATAAATCATGAACTGAAGGATCACCCGTCAAGCAGTCATTAATCAAAATATATATCTTCTCTTCTCTAGTTTGAATACGCTTTTTCCGTTTCCCGTTATCAGTGAGGACGTGAAAGCGAAGTCGAGCATCTTTATCAGTATTGATGTCATTCAGAATCCTTTTCTCATTGCGTCTGAGCTGTATCCCTTCATTTTCCAGTGAATGGATTATACCACGCCTAAATTGGCAGTTCAAAAAACGGCAAATACATTCAACAAAATCTTGAAGTAGATTTACATGCAATTTCCTCAGCACGGCATATCACATTAAGAGCATTTTCCAAAGTGCAGTCCACGGGGACCTGCATAATTAGTTTCATTGTGTCGAATTTCAAATAATATCTCGTCATCAACCTTCCGGGCTCTGAAGACACGGAAAGGAAAATGGTTAAAAAGTGAAAATATCTTTCATCCACTAGTACTCTAGTTCACTGGTACAGGAATTATTGTTACTAATACCTAGTGGTTTCAAGAGGAAACCATCTTCATCAGTCCAGATCATTTGATGTTTTGATAGTTCATTGACTTTCTGAACGCAAACCTCTGATCATCATTACAGTAATTAGGAAAAGAGAGACAAAAGGAAGAGTATCCTTTTTTATTTATTCCAGTTAAATGTACCTTGCAGATGCTTTTCTACACGGCCACTAGAAAGCCCATTTTTAACCGCATAATTTCCAGGGTTCTGATTATGCATCGCAATTTCAGAATTAGCTAGATGAGAAAGTTTATCTAGATGAGGACGACATCTTAATACGGGCTCCCAGAACTACATACCTTTTTCATTCTCACATACAAGTACGAGCACTTCATCCATTCAATTGCCTTGGTAATGTCAGAGACGGTCAGTTGAGCTATTTCGGCAGTTAAATGCTCCGTGACACATGGAAGCAATCTAAAATAAATAGAAAATCAACGACCAAATTAGAAGAAATGAAAACTGTTTCGGTGTTTCCTAAATAAGTTCTGAAGTCCTAGGCTCCATCTCATTGTAAGAGTGGAAAGTTACATATACATACTGTGATTCCACCATTTCACATCCATTCAAAAGATTCTCATACAAGTGTACCTGAGATCGTATGACACAAAAGACCAATGAATAATTTCAATGAGTACAAAAAAAAATAAATAAATAAAAAGCCATATCTAGGTAACTACATAACACCAAAGCATAAACACGTATGCAAGAACAATATGGTGGGAGAAAGGTTATGAACTACCGTGTCTCGTTTTGTCATGATTATAACCATTCCCGTATCATCAAAGGGTGGCCGACCTGCCCTTCCACACATCTGCAAGATATCACTAACTTCATGAAGAAACATATTTAGCAAAACTACCATTTAATCTAGATGCAATAGTTCGTACATTATTTTCATTAACCAGCCATTCTTTCAAATAGACCTTGAATATAGCAAGATGTAGAGACTATAATTCCATTTTTCTAACATTTTGAAAAGAGTTTGTGAACGCAGTTTAAATAAATCTGCCTTACTTTATTAATCGAAAGAGAGTTCACTTAAATAGACTAGGGCTTGAATACTGAGTCCATTATCTTCTCTAAGATAATCTATCCTATTTGAATTTAAATACTAATTGATAATTCCTAATCCAAATAACCGGAAATAATAAACTAAATAATAAAGATAACTATTTGACTTATTCAACTTATCTCTAAAAGATCTTATCTGCTGACAGTTTGGTTTAATCTTTATCTGATGTGTATCCAGACAGTTGACAGACCTGTAGCACTGTGGACCTGTCGTATTCCATGTACATGCCTTTCTCTTTGTTGCTGGGACAAAATACATTTATGATAAATTACAGAGGTTTTTCAAGTTTCAGTTCACTGGTGGTAGAAACAATAGTTCAACATACAAGTGCTGTGTTGATTTTATTACAACTGTATGTGCTGGCAGGTTGATTCCATGGGCTAAAGTATTTGTTGTGCATAGAATTTGAATATCACCATTAAGAAAAAGACTTTCGACAAGGCTACGATCCTTGAGGGAAAGGCCACCATTGTGATAACCAACTGCAAACATGGAAATACTTTTTATTCTGGTACTTAATCACGAGCCAAGGAACAGATAGATAATGGCATTAGATATTTATAAAGCAGAGTATTAAATAGCAAAATTTTCTATATACCACCATAAAGAATATAGGACTGCATTTGTTTGTCACTGCATGAAAGTGAAGCTTCCCTTAGCCTTTCCTGCTGTTCTTTGTTCTTAATGAATGGATTTGAATGCCCATAGGCCATTGCTGACTGAGACAGTCGCTGTGCTGCTTCTTGTGCCCCTTTTCTAGTCGAACAAAAGACCAGAGCAGATTTCCCTTTCGAATATAGCATGAGAATATCTACAAATATATTTAACCATATAAGTTTAGAGCATGATTTTTTGTTCAGACATCCTTCACAAGAAAAATATCCATAAATTTCACTATGAAATATGTCAAAAGATTAGTTGAATGGTCCCTGCTTACCGAAAATATAGTTTTGAAGGCGCTGAACAATTGAAGACAAACCAAAAATAAGATAAGTCAGAAGAGGTTTGATTTATTGATAACAACATGGAAGTTCCATCTCCCCTAGTCCATAAATTTCCCAGAGCGCTACTAAAATACACACACACACACACATATTTATGTCCCAGAGCAACATTAGCACATTTACGGATAATCCATAAATTCAGTCAAACAAATGCTTACCTTCTCAAATAGAAAATCATTTTTTGCTGGAGTATATCCTGCAGCAGAAATGGTTGGAAATTGGGATACGGATCAAAACAATGATAACGCAATAAAAACAAAGTAACGTGAAATATGCGCAAAACCATGTAGTATGATTACCCAAACAAATATTTAACTTCCTCAAAAAACGCAGCAGAGATGAGTTTGCCTGTTCTTGAATACATAATTTTTCATTAAATTCTGAATTTGAGGAATAGCAAAACTTGCTTACCAAAAACTTTGGTAGTCAACTTCACAGGTCTCATTTCTTCTCCAAACCTAGGAAGACATAATCCAAAAATAAAACAGGATAAAAAGGCTACCCGCACGTACATATTACATGTTAGTAATAGTATGCATGCATTTATGCATACATTCTGGTATTATTCCAATACCAAGTTACCTTTTAATGCCTTGAACAGGAACCTCGAGCCATTCCGCTGCAATTTTTATATGAAATGTGTAAATTGTAAAATGTTTCATTGCTCAAAATTTAAACATATATTTCTTTGTACGGATTGTCATTAAGTCTATCTTACCAAGGTCCTCAACATTTGGAATTGTGGCAGACACTGCCAGTAAACGAACATGAGCCAGGGAACTTGATTTCATTATAGGATTTCTTGCAAGCATTTTTATTCTGCTGACAATCGCCTCCAAAGCTGCTCCACGTGGATCATTCAACAGGTGAACTTCATCAATAAGTAGAAGTGCTATATCACTGAAAAAGCTTAATGCACCATCTTTTATTCCATGCCGAGTCACTGCATCGAATTTCTAAATGGGAAGCCAAAAAGAAAAAAGAAAGAAAAAGAAAACCATTAGACCAAGCTCCTATGTTATCAGGTTAAAGCAAAACAAATACAATTGAAATGTAACGTACATGTCATACATGTCTGTCTAAGACAATCTCGTGATTACCTCAGGAGTGGTTAAAATAATGTCAGCTTCTTGTATGTTCCTTATGTTGTAAGATTCATTATCTCCTGTCAGCTCCAAGCAATTTACACCCCATGATCCAAACTTTTGGCTCCAATGACGAAGCTTCTCCTGTACTAAAGCCTTAGATGGGGCTATGTAGATCTATACAATAACAAAGAAGGTTGAAGCAATAAGTAATTACGGCAGCGTAAGAAGATTCTACACAAACTTGTTGCATAATTCATTGCACCATGGCTAAGGTCATGGCTTATCCTTTGCTAAATCATATATTCGATCAAATATTTAATCAAGCATCAATGCTGCATCAAGATAAATAGAAACATGCTTTTCAAAGAGACCCAGGACAAGGAAATTAGTCACAAAGCAAAGAAAGCTCAAGACTCCTCATCATTTCATGGTGGTAAAAAAGATGTCTAGCACCTTTAATTGGCATCATGCAAAGAAGACTTACTGTCTTGAGAACTCCCTTTACATGAACAAACTTCGACTCCTCAGAGACAAACCTTGAGAGAAGCCTCAAGATACAAAGCTCAAAGAGTACTGTTTTACCACTTCCAGTTGGTGCTGAAACAACCATGTTCGCATCGGAGTGGAAGCAGACGGGAAAGCATTCACTTTGAAGAGAATTGAAATACCTGCATGCCCAATATGTAATGTCAAACAGGAAAAACATATTAAGCACTCTTAACACTAAAGGATAAGAAAAGAATAATTTACGATTTGTTAAAGGTGCGTGGAATACATATATTACCTGAAACTAAAGGCGGACTGAAAAGGAACGGGCAAATCGAACACGGACTTCAGTGTATACGAATCCATAATTGCACTTGTTTCATGAACGACTAAGGAAAGGAAAAAATATCAACAAAAAAAAAAAAAAAAAAAAACGTTAGGCTATACAAAAACAACAGCATTCGCCATTTTTAAAAGGCAAACGCAGATAATAAACTCTAGATGCTCGTATTCTCAGATCTAGAGAAATTTCACTACACACACACACACACAAACACAAGTAATTTCGATCAAACAACCAGTTCTCTGTGAACCAGCTTGGTAACTCATAGATCAAAAGGGAAAATAAACCATCGAAATAAGCAATTTTCTTTGGTTTTTCCACAATTTTTATCGACATATGCAAACTTTTCACTATTTCATACCAGGAGTGTCAATTTGACTAATAAATATTTAATCAAATTTCGGAAATCTACCGAGAAATTGCTCAAATTCTTATTCGTTTGAGTTTTTCGTGAACAAAAAATCGATGAGCTTGTAACATAAAAATTTACAAGGCTGAAAATCACAAAAAAAAAATCAAATCAAATCAAATCATCAATTCTGTTGGTTTGAGGTCCAAATTGCATAAAGCCTGCTACGCTAATACAGAAAAAGAAGAAGAAAAGAAGTGCTCAATTTGTGTGATATGGCCTTGAGAATCGAAAATAGCAGTGAATTTTTAGATCCGATCTTCGATTCTCAACTGAAATACCTGATCGTCTAATGAATTTGTAAAACAAAAGAATCAAATAATTTTAGGTTCTAATCCGTGTTCATGAATGAAGAAAGCGAGGGAAAAACCGTGATGAGCAGAAATTTGGAGAAGCTTCGATAGTCGCAGTAGATAACTTTTGCAGGTTGAGGAAGATGAGGGTTGAAATGAAATCGAAGGATATTTATAATCACGGTTAGTTTTGGCGGGAGAACTGCACTGGTTCTTCTTTCTTTCTTTTCCTCTTTTTTTTTTTCTTTTTTCTCTGGACCGGACCGGTTCGCACACAATGAGAATGCTTGGTACGTGTACCCAACAAGGAAACTTTTTTCCTTTTTTTTTTCCGTTCTTTTTCTTCCATTTTGCTTGTCCAACTCACCATCCCCATGGGAATATGGGATAAATATTTAAAGGGAAGTTTTTTTTGGGAAATTTTTCCATGAAAAATTTCGTTTGAGTCAGCTGTTATTGGCTCTAATAATAGAGGTTCATTTCATTATCATGAACATGAACACATCATAATTAAAATTCAATGTGACTGTCTTGTTTTTACGTGGGACCCACTTTATTATAAAAATTTAAACCTCGTTTCTTTGTATGATTTAAGTTTAAAATTTAATTTTAGGTAAAAAAATTTTAAAAATAAGTATATTTAACTTTTTAATTTGAACGAACTATTGAAAACTGAAGTCAATTTCATTCTTTTTTCGTGGGACCATCTCTCTTTGTATTCATTGTTTTTGGTATTCCTTGTTTGCTCCACAGCCTGCATAATTTCCCACCGCCATTCTTCTCACCATTATAAGCTAATTACAGTATCTTTTACTGTCACTGATTGACGAAAAAATTGTAGAAATTTATCACAAAATCTTGAGCAACCAAAACTTGAAATTCAAAAAAAAAAAAAAAAACAAGTGGAGAAGCGAAAGAGAAAAGATGAAATGAGACAAGAATTGTTGAAATTCATGATCAAACAATATCGCATTACAAAATCAAAGACTACCCAAAACTGGAAATTCAGGAAAAAGAAATAACAAAATCGAATATCTCCACCAGCAAGCCAAAAGAAATAATCAGATCAGACAGTGTGTTTGAGATTTAATACAGATAACCGCTGATAAATAAGAAACATCGATGTTCTCCGTGAAGAAGAAACACAAGAGAAAGTCTAAAAAAATAAACTTGATCAAGATAAAATTGGATGAGTACATTTAAAGTTACAATACATATGTTGTTGGCACCAACACGCCACATGATATTAATCGAATGGTAACTAAAAACGTGGAATAGTGGAAAAGTGAAGGTACACCAGAAAATTTTCTTTTTTTTTTTTGGCTGAAAATCTCTAGAGGGAGTTAATTATACTCGTTGTTCTTTTCTTTCTTTTACTGGGATGCATAATTTGTCTTTAATGTATTGAGTTTTATGTTCAAGTCTCAAAAATAGTTGGAAAAGAAATAGAAATTTCCCCATAGGTGGCGTATTTCAAGGCAATTAGTTATGTAACGTGCTCTACAAAAGTTTTCAAAAGTTTTTTTTTTTTGGGTGAAAGTTTTCTGAAGTTTTGGCGTATAGATATCTTTCCCCGAGTATTGTTTTAGAAACTCAACGCGTAATTATTTTTTAAGAGAATGATTACCAACAATTTAATCGCGGCTGTTTTGGGGGAATAATGGATAAGTAAATTTAGGAGGAGATGACCAAATTCCGCGATACATGAAGGAAGCAACGAATGGCAGCAGACTAATATAAAGGAATCAAAAGGGAGGACAATGCTCGAAATGACATAACATAAAATTTAAAACCTATAACATAATCAGATAATCTTACCATGATATTGAAACTTATAAAAAAAACAAAATAAAAATATTTTACAACAAGCAAAAGTTAACATCATTATAACAATTATGTCGTAACTACATAGCATAAAACACGATAATCATTACAATAACTATAATATAAGTACGCTATTCTTAAAAATTATTTATATTTCAATTCAATACCATCAAATATGTGCATATATTACATTGTAGATAGAAAAAATTACATATTCTACCTTTTTAATTTAAAAAATCCTATCCCTTTGACTAGTTCTAATAATATATAAACTAATGTTAAGGGATAGAAATAAAAAAGGACTATATTTCATGAGATACTTTTAAAAAAATTGCCCTTGTAAATATGCCATGTAGCCTAATTTACATAACATTATGGAGGCTCATGGCAGCTTTAGCAGCCAAGTGAACTTCAAGTCCCACTACCCACTTGAGCCAACAACCCCTTGAGCTTGGAAGAAGCAAGCAATCGGTGGAGAAGCAAGTCACCAGGAAAATTCAGAAACAGATCAAAATCCTCCAAGAAAATAACTAAACAAGAATCCTTTCTTTTATGATGATTGTCTGTTCTCTCCCAATAATCCTCGTACTCCTCAGTGGGATGGGAAGTGGGATGTTCTCTGGACCATCCTATGATTTCAATCCAGAAACAGATCATTTTCTCCTCCATAATAGAACTTTATGTAAAAACAAATCAGTGTAGTGATTGTTTTATGTGCAAATAAAGGTCTGAAGATGTTTTTATTTTTAGTAACTAATACAATGGAGCTTAAAAGCATTTCCATGGTGTTTTTTCTTTTGGAAGTCAAATGGGATGTTTCCTCAGAAGCTGAATTTAATGACCTTGAATGTACAGTAAAAGAAAGCAGAGCTGAATCCAAACTGTTGTGGTTTTATAGTTCCTTAAGGTTGCCTAACAGCTTTAAGTCTGAGAAGAGAAAATGGTCCTTCACTTAGCCTAGGCAAAGCCCACCAACCACCAAGAATTCCAACTAAAGTAAACTCCTGATCTTTTACTTCCACTCTTGCAAGGCAGAGAAGCTTGTAGTCTTGAACTTCGACTTTGTGCGCATATAGTGACTGTAAAATAAAGAACATCCGCAGTTAGAAGTGGGAAAATAGTAAATCTACATTTTTTACTTCATCAAGATTAAGGACTTGAAGATGAGACCTGTACGGTTCTCAGTAGCAAAGTAGATGCAGTTCACATTCATCCATGGTAAAATTTTCTAGTGCCTCCAATTAGTTCATAATAAAAAAAACACATAAATTGATATGTCCATCCGGTCCATTCTAACTTTTGACTATCATACACTTTGACAGACAAGAGCTGAAACAGTCTAACAGGTTTTTCAGTAGACAAGCTTTCAACCAATTTCCCGTGAATAAACCAACTAGTGGCAACATAGTGTGCTGACAGTGATGAAAAGTTGAGAAAATCAACGGTGTGGTGATCTTTCACATGGCTACTGGGAATGTGACTATCACAAATGGACATATTCATAGGTAGATCAGATTGTTTATCATAATGCATATTAGTCAAACATAACTCTAAGCATGTTTTCCTTTATTTTCTTTTTTCTTGGGCAAGCCTGAGTACCATCCCTGCTATAAAATGAGAATCATCCAGCCAATTCAACAAGCTATTTCCATCAATGCAAGATAAACATACAAATCATTTTGTTGGAAAGAGAGAGAAATAATGGTGACTTTTTAAACCTTCAACCTTGTATTGCTACAACTACTACACATGGCACATTTGAACACGAAGCACGCACCTTTATGTTGTACAAGTGAGGCTCTTGGCGCATCAACTGATGACAAAACTGTAATATTCAGATTCTAAGTCAATGAGTTTGATATAACAGACTAATTTGTTACTACAAACGCAACTACTTTTATTATGGTTGACATTCTATTCTTATTCTAGGCCTTAACTTAAAAAGGGGAGTAAGAAATAATGCAGAGAAAATTCATATGTTCGCTAACCTCATTAACAAAAACATAGACCGAGAAAGGACTAGGCTTCGTGCTAAGGAGGAAAAGAATAACTTTGAGTGCAATTATTGTAACAGGATCATCCAAGTGTGACAACACAGTGAGAAAGAAAAAAACAGGCAGCCAGAATTTCTTTGCAAATTTCCAGAGGGCATGTGGATTTTCTTCTTCATCTGAAGCATGCCACGGTTCTATGTCATCATGCCCCAAAATGTCAAGTCCTACAGCGTGAAAATTCAAAGGAAAGGAATGACTAAGAAGGAAGTAATACTAACAATGACAATATAGATGCAAACGGACAAAAATTTCAGAGGTATACATTGGCTTGCATACATATTCCTGCTTACCATCCATAGCATATGAAACATGAGGCCGAAAGATGATTGATCCAAACACAGCAGACACAGCAAGAATGCATCCAATTCTAGTTGTACTTCCTGAAATAATGCAAAATCACAAAGATAAAAAGACGAGTTGCTAAAAGAGAAAAAGATTTGTTGTTACCAACAAATAACACAAAAGTTGAACAAGGTAACCAGTACTGAGTACCACTGACATATAGCAAGCTGTTAAATTCATGAGTATCCTTAGTAGTACAAGAAAGCTACAATCCTAATCTAATGAGTTCCAAAGAATCCAAACTATAAAAAACGCATGAGTAAAAGGCCTAAGTCAACAAACAGTTCAATGCCTGACTCAGAAAAGCCAGAAATGGAAACTAAAAATCATGACTCGTAAAAAATCAGAAACGGGCATCATTTCAAGACAGCGTGAAAATTTCAAAATTGGGAAAAGCGCACCCATTAATTGATTCTCCGACACAGATGCTTAAAACTATCTACGTTGGTCATCAAACTTATTCATATAGGATGTGTTTACTTCACATGAAAGGGAAACGGAATAGGTTTTCCATTTTTCATATAATCATGTCTTTACTTACAAAATTAAGATTGGGAGTTTGGTGAGCTCCACACAACATAAGGATTAGGGAAGGATGAAAGAGTGCCAATCCCTGCACCCCCTCAGTATCGAATCACGTTTAAAGAAAATGAATACTAAATTTAATATACCCTCGACAAGGTAACATGTTATAAGCCAATGAAAATAAGATTTCTTATTCCTAAGTTTAATAATCACTACAAAAGGAATCGAGTTGTTTCGAATTCTACTTTCTAATAGATAAGTAATCAATGATAGCGATTCTTATTCTTTTACTTTCCTTTTAATGGCCCACTGCATTCCGTTAAGGTTCGGTAAACATGCCCATAGTTCTAATCCTTATATGAACGAAACCCAAAAACAAATTGAAAAGGTGATTGTATTCTAACATACATTATCATCCAAATAATGTTCATTGTTCTTGAAAGCAACTTAACCTTTTTCCTTTCAATACACTAACGAAAGCTATAACTAGCAAACGCATTACTTAAAGCACTGAACTTTAGCATTACAATTAAATGAGAAAAAACACAACAAATTACAAAATCAAAACTTGCCTGAGAAATAAGTATTCCGAAAATATGTCGTTCGACCGATTGATTTACACCGAAATTCAGAGAATCGGCTACAAAGTGCGGGTTCAAAACCCTTTAATAACCTCTTTAGAGGTTTCAATTTGACATAGACTGCGCAAAAGAAGAGGAAGATTTTCAATTTACGGTAACAACGCCAAAAAGTTCGACGGAAAAAGCTGATAAAATTTTATGATAAAGTTAGAGAAGAGGAAGAAAGAAAGACTTACAGAATTGTCTGGGCTGAGAAGAACATGTACTAGAAGAGGTTATTAGAGTGAGAGTTTGTCCGAATGGATAAAGGAATCTTCTCGAATAAGCCATTTTTGAAGTGTTACCATCTCCGAGCTTGAAAGCCTTCAAAGCTGGAACCTCTCTCTCTCTCTCTCTCTCTCTCTCTCTCTCTCTCTCTCTCGCTCGCTCGCTCGCTAACGACGAAAAATGTAACTGAAATACATACGATGGAAATAGCCTTCGGCCTTTTTTATCCTCTTAAGTAAAACACCAAACGACCTGTTTAATGTTTTACGATTGTTATATGCATGTCGTTTTCTCAACAATCAATTCATCCGATGCCGTTTTAGGCTGTTAAGGTTTGCTGTAGTTCAACGACAAACGACCTGTAGTTTGTGTGTGTGTGCGTTTTTTTTTTTTTTTTGAATGGTGGAGTTTATGTTTTACTATTGCAAAAAATAAGAATTTCAGGTCGTTTAAAAGTGAAATTTGCTGTCGTTTGATTCATAAAACAACATCTTGTTCTGTCGTTTTCTCCTTCGTTTTTGGAGCAAACTCATGCCGGTAAACGTGCCAATTTTACTTTGGATACCAATAATATATTTATTTGATCTGCATGATCAGTAATAGGTTTACACCATCGGAAGTAAAACGACGTCGTCTTTCTCCATAATTTTCTGACTTAAACGACATGAAGTTCAATTTTTAATTTTAAGTGTCGTTTTGGAAGTACACAACAATAGAACCTTAATTGAACTTTGAAAAAACGAAAACAAATTGCTGACCAAAACTAGCGTTACTTGAAGGAAGCTGTCTTTATTTATCCAATTTATTGTCGTTTATAAAAATCATTGTCCGCTTTATATATGTGTTTTCTGTGATAATTTTTTTATTAGTTACATCTAATTTTTTTATTATAGTAAAAAACTTTTATATAAAATTATATCTCAATTTAAATTAAAAATTTAAATTAGTAAAGAACTCGTGGTTCAAATATATTGTTGCTTTTAAAACATTGCCGTTTTCTGACATGCTGCCGTTAAAAAAAATACAAAAATAAAATTCCCATTAAAAAATACAAAACTAATAAAATAAAATAAATCATATCCCCTTAAATGGCAGCGACGACGCCGTTCCGTGGTATGTTCTCTCTAGTCCGAGTGCAATGACCTTTGCACTTTTAATGCTGAGATGGAGAGGTTCAATTGGCTAAAAGACCAAGGCCGTTCAGAAAATATCCGAATCCCCAAATATCCAAAAATATCCCAGAGCCAAATGCAAAGACTATATAATAGATATATCATCTGAATTTGAAAGCTTTTGCAAAATGCCAGAATCCATTGAAACACCACACAGAAAGAAATATGTCAGCATCGCTACTTCCAATCTGCCAATTTCTAGTTCCAAAAGCTTCCCAAGTTCATGGACATTCCACTCCAAACAAACCCATCTGCAGGTATGTATGTATATGTATTGATATATATATATATATATATATATATAAAATTATGTATTATAACTTGTAAAGATATGATTATGAAGTTTGTCAAGGCTTTTTTTCAGAAAGGTTTTATAACTAAGATATAAATATTCTAAGGTTGAAAATGCAAGCGCTTAAATTCTTTAAGCGTACACTTTCTTATTCTCTCTCTTTATCTCTAGATATTTTAATTTAAATCATGGTTTTCTTTCTCTTTTTTTTTTCCTGATAAAGAGTTATGCTGTAATAAATTACTTAAAATCTATGATCATTTTGTCCTCAAGATGGGGTAAAAAATACCCTGTGATCAGATGCTGTGACAGAAAGGCAGAGAAGAGGATGCGGACAGAAAAGAATTACTATGAATTGCTTGGCGTTTCTGTGGATTCAGAACCCCGGGAAATCAAAGAAGCTTATAGAAAATTACAAAAGAAGTATCACCCAGATATTGCAGGCCAAGAGGTCAAACATATTTCCATTTCCACTCTTTTCTCTTTCTTGAAGTAAGCTAGACAAAACTATGGGAGTATAGTTCACTAAAATATTCTAATTTCTACTCATATTTTTCAATGAATCCGAAGTTTTCTTTTTCACCAAGTAATATGACAAATGAGTTGTTGAAATGCAACTTTTGGTAAATGGATAGATCTGTCAAATGGAAAGTGACAATTCACTTGCAAATGTTAAACTTGGATGGAATGCTAATAATAAGAAGCACCAAATATGATTGCTTGAATGACATTTTTAAGTGCATTTTGGCTTTAGGGTCATGAGTACACTCTAATGCTGAATGAAGCCTACAAGGTTCTAATGAGAGAGGATCTAAGGTGGAAATATGATGCATCAATTGGTCAAGTGAGAAAACACTTCAGCAAAGACAAATCATGCTTTGGTTACAGCACATGGAATGGACCCTTGAGATCTCAAGCTTTATTTGTTGATGGAAACGCATGCATAGGTCATAATTCTAAACCAAAATTTGCCACTCTTTTTCTAACCCTTTTTTTTTTTTTTGTTTTTTGTCCCCTATTAAGTTTCTCCTCCTTTAAACTATCCCTTGGCAGGGTGTGGAGAATGCGTGCACCATGCGAGTAAAACATTCGTTATGGATGAAGCTCTCGGATTTGCGATGGTTAAAGTACAATACGGGGATGATGACCAAAATATTGAGGCAAAACAATATGACAGTGTCATGTAACATTTTTTTTCATGTTGTGAAATTAAAGTGGCCAGTGGAATTTGAGTCTTGTGAAACTCCACAGGTATCGGTGGATTCGTGCCCGGTGAACTGCATTTACAGGGTGGACAGAGAAGAATTGCCGGTGCTCGAGTTCCTTATTCAGCCTCAGCCTAAAGAAGGGTATGGCGTGTTTGGAGGAGGATGGGAAAGACATAGAAATGTTTTTGAGGCTGCCAAGTACTTCAACAAACAATCGGAACAAAATGCATCAAATGAACACCAACATGGAAATGGTAAAAATAATTGGAAACAACGGTTGCGTTTGGCGTTAGTTTTTGTTTTTATTTTTCACATTTTTTTAGAAAGAAAAAATAAAAACGGGAGAAAAACGGCGTTCGGTACAATTAAAAATAAAAAACAGAAATGAAAACGATTTTTTAATTTAGTGTAAAATATGAAAAAAATAAAAAATGACTTTTAATCATTTTTTATTTTTTATTTCCGTTTTCTCCTCTCTTAAGTAGAGAGAGAGACATTAATAATTTTTGTATACTGAAAATAATATATTAATACAATTACCAAATGCATTTTTAAAAATAATTTCTGTCTAAAATTAAAAACGTTTTCATTTTTATTTTCATATAAAAAATAAAATTATTTTAAAACAAGTTTCAAACGCACCCGTTTCGTTTTTACCTTTCATTCATTGGCCTTTAAAACTGAAACGGGTTATATAAACATCCTTAGAAAACAACATTTGGAGTTTGTTTTTCTAGAATTGTTGGTGTGTTCCTTGATGCGGCCTATTTTTGCAGTAACACGTGAAGAAACTCCTGCTCAAGCCGAGGCCCGAGTCAATGCAAGTAAGAAAATAAATATGGAGAGATTCTCGAGATTATGGAACTGGGCAAAGGAAGCTTTACACATGGATACTAGGAATACAGAATAACAAAAATGGAAAGAACGGGGGAAAAAAAAAAAAAAAAACTAAATGCTGTTTTTACTGATAATAGGATGTACTTCTTTCTCAAGTAAAAAACAACCAGAAGCATAAAAATTTTTAATATTTGTAGTGCTTGTAAGATATGTTTTTACTTATCACCTAATAGGAAAATTAAATAAACTTTGGTAAAACAGGAAAATAAGGTAAAATGGACCATCGTGTGATTCATGAGATTTGTTCCTTCTCAAGTCAACTCTGAATTTTATAACTCCTGAACTCCCTAGAATATTTGCTTCAAATTCACCATTTCCATGATGTAATATTGCTACAACAATTTGAGAAATCTTCATTTTATTTGGCAGAAAAATATGAGAAAAATGTTAGTATAAAGCTAATAAAAGACAGTGCGTTGAGAGATTCTATTCTAAAAAAATATGAGATATTGGCACCTAAACTTGCCAACAACTGCAATTAGTAGGTGAATTGCTTGCAAAATACAACAAAAACCACAGCTCACTAATTTATTAATTATTATCAATCTCGTATAAAGTTCGACAAAGACTCTCAACAATAGCTAATGATTTGATTGTAACAACTCTTGGTCGGTGACCTTTGGTTGGGTTAAAAAGTGAGAAATATAATGGAATGGAATTCAAGTCTGATGTTTGATTGAATTTATAAGAAATGAATGATCATTTACCCATTTTGATTGAATCGCTATTTCTTCATCACATGTGAGAAATATACATTCTGAGCTTTTCTCTTCATTTTTTCCATAATTACCTTTCAATATTTTAATATAATTATAATATATTATATAGTTGTTGTATCTTATAATATGCAATATAATATAATATATAATAAATATATTATAATAATATGATATAATATATTATAATGTATAATATAGTTATAAATTATATAGTTGTAACTATATATATTACTATAATATAGTTGTAATTTTAAATTATTATTTTAATATTATTGTTATATTCTATATCATAATTATATAATAGTATTTTGATTATATTATATTACATTTTATATATTATATTAATTATGTTGATATATAAAATATTAGTGTTATATATATAACATAAAGATAATTTTGTCAACATAAAAATATTCATGTTCCATTTTATAGTATTCTTAAAATTACAACCAAACAAATGAATCAACTTTTTTTCATTCTCTTATTATTATAATTCTCATTATCATTACTATTACTATTTTCCCATTACAACCAAAGGCACTCTGAGTGCTCTTCTCTTTATTTCCTATTTGTCGTTTGTTATGGAAGAGTCACAATCAACTGTGCTATAAGTTATGATTGTTTATTTTTGCAATATTTTTTTAAATTTTTTTTGTCTCATTTCATTTTTATTTTTATATTTTGGCCCATTTTATTTGGTTCATTATTATCTAATTATTGATTTATTTCCTAAACGCTAGATGAATTTGGTCCATTGCCAACGATTGACCAACCATTTTTTTGTTTTTTTCCTTTAACATAGAAATCCAAAACTACAATTGGAATCTTTTAAGCATATAGCAAGTCACGAGTTTAGAATTTCAGTAAATGAAGCACAAAAACCAAATGGTCACAAGTGTACCCTTTCAGTTTGATTGTTGTTTTGTAATCAACTTATAGTTACATCGTCTAACCCCATGTAAAGAGGGTTTAATTTAACAAAGTTTCTTTTTCCCTGAATTGTTTTTTATTCATAAAAGGCTAAAACATTGATATTCTTGATTCTTCCATCTTTAGGGGGGGCAAACGAAAGATAACAGATTAAGATCTTAATTGCATGGAGATAAATAAAAATGCTTAATTACAGAAATGATAGAAACATTCATCAACTACATTTCTTCAATATTTTAATATAGAAGGAAAATAAGAATTATTTTTTGCTCAAAGGAAACAAATAAAAACAGGATTATTAAAAATGAATTTAAAAAAAAAAAAAACTTTTAATCATTTAACAGGACTCCATCCCCTACATCACACGCAACAAAGAAAAGGAAAAGAAAAATAACAACTTTACACGACACCCACCTTAAATAAAATAAAATAAAATAAAATAAAAGAAAAAACCTTCATTTTGCTAAGAGAAGCCAAGTCAGTCTAAGTGCAACTCTCTCTCCCTCTCTCTCTCTTCACTGTCTGGTCTCTTCTGGTCTAAATCCCAAAAACTTCACATGCTCTGCTCCAGAACACACTCATAAAAAAAGTCTCCCACCACGAGAATCCCGAAAGCACTTTGCTTTATAACCAAAGCAAGTTTTTGTTTTTTGTTTTTTTTTGGTCCTAAAATTGGCGCAAAAAAAGAAAATCGTAGCAAAATCAGAATCTCACTCCTCAAAAGATTGCCATTGGAATTCTCCAAGCTCTGCGGATCTGGTTCTTGTTTTTTCCACCAAAAGAAACGAGCTTGGGCTCCATTTATGAGCTAATTCCTTAAATTTTCGTGGATTTTTCTGTATTTTCTTTTGGCTTATTGTATGAATGAAGCTAAATGAAGCGAAAAGTAGCTCAGCAGAAATCGACGTACAAATGGAAGAGGAAATTTCTTGCGGTTGTATTGCTAGGTTTTTGTTTCGGAAGCTTGTTGTTGATGCAGAGTCGATATAGTCGGATTATGACGCTCGCGACTTCGTTGCGTGCTCAGAAGCCGAAGAATAAGATCGCCTTCTTGTTCATCGCTCGAAATCGCCTTCCTCTGGACATGGTTTGGGACGCTTTCTTTCAGGTTATTATTTTTTTCTTCCTTTCTTTTTTCATGCATTTATTTCGCTTAATTCATGCGTAAATGGTTCAGAATTCCTAAATTAATTAGCTCTTGATTTTGGTCTTTGTTTTTCTTTATGGCGCTTGAATATTAATGCTTAATTCACTAAATTTACATTGTGCAATTTCCAATATCTATCAAATATACGAAAATTTGGAGCCTATTTTATGTTAATATAAGCAAAAAATTCCTTTTTCTTATTGTTTTTGTTTTTGGAATGTGAGTTAAAGAAAGCTTTTTTTTTTTTTTTTTTTGGTAGGGGGGGGAGAAAAAATTTTCAGTTTTTGTTCCCTCGTTTTTTTTGGTAGGGAGGAGAGAATAAATTTTCAGTTTATGTTCACTCGAGGCCTGGGTTTCTGTTCAACAAGGCGACCACCAGATCGGTATTCTTTTTGAATCGTCAAGTTAATGATAGTATTCAGGTGCTGGTTCTCAACCTGAATTCTCAAACTCCAAATTTTAAGCCAATTATTTACATTTGTTTTAGTACATTCTGAAACTCCATATGTAACGCTTTTGATTTTCTTAGTTCTTATATGGGAAATGAAGTAATTGTCAAAAAACTTGATGCATTTATTCCAGGTAGACTGGGGAGAAGCAAGTATGATCGAGGCGGAGCGTATATTGCTTAGACGTGCACTAAAAGATACTTACAATGAACGTTTTGCTTTTCTTTCTGACAGGTGAGATTGTCCATATAGCAGATTTTGTGCATTGTTCCTTTCACGTGTCTTGGTTATTCAGATACTCGTACAAGTATTTCAACTTTGTTGCAACTTAATTTTTTTTTCTTTTCTTTTCATGCTCATTTTACTTAATTGTTATCTAACAGCATTTCAGTTTCTTGATCTCTTCGCAGCTGCATCCCCCTTTACAACTTCAGCTATATATATGACTATGTCATGTCAACGCCGAACAGTTTTGTAGACAGGTGAGAGAGTTAACTCGGATGTGTTAATTCAAGTACGTCCAATATAATTGATTGTAGCTTGTCTCGCGATGTTGCGTGTTGGGAGATTTATGTTGATCGCATAAGTGTTTATATATTTGTTTTCAAACTTTTCAAGAGATTGGTGCTATGGGTGGATGTTCTTTTCATCCATCAGTCTCAACCTGAGTTAATCCTTATTAGCATGTATGAGATATTTTCTGTTGAATTTTTCTTCTTGCATCCTTCTTTTTTGGGATTAATGAATCAAAACCTTGAATCAGTTTTGCTGATACAAAGGAGGGCCGCTACAATCCGAAAATGGATCCTGTTATTCCTGTTCATAACTGGAGGAAAGGATCTCAGGTAGGATATTCTTTTGATTGTTTGTAGTTCCTATACATATATATATGTATATATATATATATATATAATGAAAAGTTCAATTACAAATTAAATGAAATCCTAGCCATTTCCGCTCATTTGATATACCTGCTGATTATGTGATTCCTATCTCCTGCTTTCTCTTGTTGCAGTGGGTTGTTTTGACAAGGAAGCATGCAGAGGTCGTTGTGAAAGATGATACTGTCTTCCCTATATTTCAGTGGCATTGCAAGGCAAGTTATCTTCACATTGTTTTGGCTGATTGTCTAATCTTAGATAATTGCTAGCTTTTTGGGTTACTTTTTATGGCATGGTAGCTTCTTTCCTAATACGTATCTATAGTTAGTGGGGGCTTCTAATAATTTGCATATTTGGGGGCCCATTGTACTTTTATTTACATAATGAGAAGCAACCCTCTTCGATCTCATAAATTTTCAAAACCTAATGATTAACTGAAGTAGGATTTCTTCCAATCTGTTAATGCTAGCCAAAATATTTGGCTTTCGCCTAGTGAACTAGCTAGGACCTCAAATGGAAAGGCCATTTAGCATATTGTACTCGTAAGAAAGCTGCGTCTGTGGAAGCCTTTTAAACAGGACATCTTTTCTGCAACTAATTTAATAGATCTTACCTTTCTTTAGGAGAACATTAACCAGCGGGTATTAGGCATGCAATTGATTTAATTTGATATTCCATAAGGTACTAAATTTTAAAGTGTACTCCCAAGCTCCTTTTGGTACTAGACAGTTTTTTAGTTGCAATGTTATCAAGTTTCCCTTTAAGTCTTTTTGCTTGTTAAACTCAGCATTCTTCTTACTTCTTCTCTGCACAACAATATGCAGAGGAGGTCACTTCCTGAGTTTTGGCGGGATCGTCCCCTTGTAAGTACTCATTAGATCTGTTTATCCTATTTAGTTGCTGCATAAGCTCCCTGAAAAGGTGGTTTCACACCTTCAAATTTTTTTGTATAGAGTGCATTTGCCTGCTATTATTTTAGTCTTCATGTCACATTCCCATGTAAAAATTTAATTGTAATGTTTAGATAGCATTTATCGAAAAGGATTTGTGAGATAATTTCAAGCTTGTTTTAACTTGTGTCATGAGCAGCCAGCAGATGCTTCGAAGGAGCATAATTGTATACCAGATGAACATTACGTTCAGACACTACTAGCTGTAAGTTATTATCCTCTGTTACTATTGTGAGCTTTATTGATTCTGATAAAACTTTTATGGAGAGTCATTTCAGCGAATATTTTAGCACTCTCTCCCGTCTCTTATTTTTGGTTCAAAGTCTAAGCACTGTTTTTATTTATAAAAGCTTGTATTTCTGAATAATCAGTTTTACAAATTTCAGCAAGAAGGCCTTGAAGGAGAAATAACACGAAGATCGTTGACACATTCTTCATGGGATCTATCATCCTCTAAAGACCGTGAACGCCGTGGATGGCATCCTGTGACTTACAAGTTTTCAGATGCTACTCCCATGCTTATACAATCTATAAAGGTATGTTAATGTGATGCAGCCATTTTTTCAAATAAGGACAAAGCTATCATATCCATATGAGCACGGCTAGTTTATTCTTTTTTATGTTGGGAAAAGCGGCTCAGAAGCCAATCAGTCATTCAAAAATGCAAAAGATTTACACTTTTATCATTCAAAAGCAAAATGTTTACTGTACCAATGGCCTAGCCACAAAAGGATATGTTTAAAGTTGATTAAATTTACTAGGGTTCTTCTCTGTCAAGGTTCTCCCAAGATTCTGCTTAAAACTTCAACTAAACTTGAAAGCTTCTCTTATTAATAAATGTGCTGTAATTTTTTCATGCCATTGGAAATTGAGTACGCATTGCGTGTACAATCTAATAAGAATATTCCATGTTTTCTTTTGTATTCGAAACTCATGGTTTCTAATTTATGCAATTGTCTTCTTTGATTGAGCAAACAAGATATTCAAAATTTAGTAGAACGCACACTTATGTTTTCAATCCAAAAAAAAAAAAAAAGACAACTCTCAGTGTGAACCGTCGCGTATCTTCTATAGATTCAATTCCACATTAGATTACATTTTCTTATCAAAATTGGGGTAGGAAAGCATACAAAACAAATATATCTATTTTGCAGGAGATAGATAACATCTATTACGAGACCGAGTACCGTAGAGAATGGTGCACCAGCGAAGGAAACCCAGCCCCATGCTTTCTTTTTGCCAGAAAATTTACACGGCCTGCTGCTCTCAGGCTTATCAATACAGTAAGTTTGACATCTTCATCTTTAATCATGAACCAATGGGGAAATGCAGAGAAACATGAGTCGTATAGTTAGCGATTTTTGTTCTATTTCTTCTGTATATTAGTCGCATTCTTATACCTTCGTAAAATTGAACCAGTTCCGCATACTTATATTATGTTATACGACTTGTGTCTAGCAGTCAGCACTGGAGCTTTAAATGGAGCGACAAGTATATCCTAAATAGTGAGAGTTTATACTTTATACATAGCTTAAAATGTCGATTCTTAACCCATATGAAACAAGTCGTGAGTGCAAAAGAGAAATAAGAAGAGCCGTATGTCTACGGGAGGAGTTTGGGGATGTTAATTATGGAGTATAATGCATAGATTTATTCCTCGTTGAAGATATATAATAATAAAAGCGCTTTTCTTTATGTACATACCAGTTCAAAAGCGGAATCGATTCTTTTTGTCATATTCATGTTCTCTTTCATGTCCTTTTAATAATATCATGTTAATTAAAATGTCATATCAATTAAAATGTTAGTTGAAAAGTTATAACAGATAAAATAGTTTAATTGACGTTGCATGATGTGATATGAATATTGAAATATGTGAGCTCAATATCTTCAAAAGCGTGTGTTTATGCAATCATGGCAGGGTAATTAGTTTATCCCGTTTTGAAAGCGTAATAAATGGCCCAACGTAGAGAACCAGTGATCACTAACATTCTAAGACCAAGACTGGGCATGTTAGATCAACTAAAATCCTATACCCACAGTGGACTTTACATAGGGACCGAGTCATACTTGTTTTCGGACAACAATAACCAACCAAAAAAAAAAAAACAAAGAGGAAGAAGCCGCAGCCTGGCCTTGTCCTCTATGCTTCTTCCAGTTTTAGTTGGAGAAAATCTCATAATTGTACAGTTCTCCATTCAATCTTTGTTTGTGTTCCTATTATTTAAGTAATTTTTGAAGATTTGTTTCTAATTTAATTCGTACTTATTTATTTATTTTATTATTTTTTTGAGTAAAAGAAGCTTTCATTACTTAAGCTAAGTCCGCTAAAAGCTTAATAATATAGTTCGTGTTTATTCGGTTTATAAAGATAAAATTATTGCCCATTTTGTGCGTCGAAAAATAGACCAAGACTTGAAATGAATTAAAATTAATAGGCCAATAGTTTACATAAGTTAATAAATAGGTTAAATTACTATTTTTATTCATAACTTGTCTAGTTATGAACCATAACTTGACAAGTTATTGTCTATAAATCACGATTTTTATCCATAATTTGTCTGGCTATGAACCATAACTTGACAAGTTTGTCCATAACTTATCTGGTTATGAACCATAACTTGACAAGTTATGGCCTATTAATTTCTATAACTAAAAGTTGGCCTATATACTTCCTTAAGCTTTTCATATTGACCTATTTTATACTATTTTCAATAATAATTTTAAGAAAATACTTATTACATACTCTATCATTAAAAAAAACATATTACCTTCTAAAATTTACTGTCCTAATGTTTTAGAAGAATAAGTTTTGAATTCTAACATAAAAGAGTATTCTTACACAAAGGTACGTGGTTAAATTTTTTTTCTTAAAAATTCTTTCTTTTTTTTTTTAAGATGGTTATATCATTAGTTCTAAAATATTCATGATTCGTAAGAACATTTTTTGAAGGAATAGATTCGTGAAAGAGCCGCCGGCATGTGCACTTCACTATTTCTTTTTTTCTTTTTTTCTTTTTACGTCTACTACTTTAGTCGGCATATTCAGTATTTTTTTTTTTGGTCGTTGCATACGTCTCCTACTCTACTCTACTGGGATTCAAATTATTTTGTCGCTGCCGAAAGTCCAGAAGACTCCATATGATCATGGTTTTTGTAAGTTACAAGTAATTTATGCTTCAATGTTAAAAGTTGGCTTTCAATATCATCTTCAATAACGGAGGAGACATTGCAAAAATAATAATAATAAAAAATTTAAAAAAATCTTATTCTGTAGCGTAATGTTCTTATAAATCATATTTTCTTCCAAAAAAACACTTCAATTTCATATATATGAAAAATAAAAAGAAAAAGAAAAGGATAAGTTTGATTGGCGAGATGACAAAAAAAATACATTTTTAAAATTTTAAGGGAGTTAACAAGTAGAATGAAGGTGGTTTAAAAATGTGTGTATAAAAAATATAATTGAGGTGATTAATTGTGAGGACTTTTTTGAAATTTTTGACAGATATCTTTTGAAACTGTATAAGTCATAATTTTTACTATTTATTCTTGATTCATAATTTTTTTAGTCAAATAATTATATTAATAAAATGATATTTATCAAGAGTAAATGATAAAAGTTCAGACTTATGTACTTTGAAGAGTAAATTTTCTATTTTTTCATGGGAGTAGTTTAAGAAGTGTGTGTGAAAAGTTAAAAAAGAGGTGCCAATAGACGCTTTATGAAATTGACATATATTTTGTGTGTATTTTTTTATATTAGATCTAGATAAAACTATACTGATTATGGCTCTCACATTTCTAAGTAGTCAGGTTTCTTTCATTTTGTATTAGATTTTTTTTTTTTGTTTAAAAATTGTTTTAAATGAGTACCCTCATAGTTAGAAAATTCCATTGGTATATCCTCTTATTTGGAAAAAAAAATACATCTGGGTAATTTTGAATTTATTTTTTGTGACATGAAATAAAGTTGTTGCACTTAAAGTCTAAAATATACTTAAAAAAAAACACAAAGTTTCATTTTTGAGACATCATGAACTTTTCCCCCCCTCCTTTTAAGAAATATATTTTTTTAATAAGTTTTCTTTTTAATTTGTTTTCACTTTTCAGACTAAAACCAAAAAAACAACATATTTAAAAGACAAATTCAAGGCATTGAGGATAAGTTTTTCGAAATAATAAGGCATCCAAATGAGATTATTGAAACACGGTCCCGTTCATTTCGCTGATTCGAGTTTAGAATTCAAGTTGAGATGTGATTTTATGTGAGTGCTTTTTACTGTAGTAAAAAAATTAAATGTAACTGTTTCTGAGAGTTTTTTACTGTAGTAAAACTCAAATTCTAAACTCAAATCAGTGAAATTAACAGGACCTTATAATAAAGTGTATTAAACTAGAAGATAAGGTACCGATAGCGCTGGGTATAAATTGTTTTTTTTATCTACACAATTCTGAACTGGAGTCCGGCCAGGGGAGGTGGTGACGGTGCCCTGTTGACTTCCCTCCTTGGTTATATGGGGTTCGTTTTGAATTGACTGAGACAAAGATAAAAGCAGAGACATTGATTTGTCAATCTCCATTAATATAGTATTTGCAGTTTTCTTATCCCCTACATCACCGTAACATTTATTTCAAATTTCCAACATTTTGAACAAATAATTGTTTATCCAAAAAAAGAGACCAAAACCTCGGCTTCGTTTTGTGAATAATAGTAATAATAATGAGGTAAATTATATGGCGGAACCTTTAGAAGTTTTTATTGGTGAAACATCTAATTTAAATTATTGGATTAAATTTTTAACAATTCAATTTATGTAAATTAATATTAAAAATTTACAGCGCGTTATATATAATTATTTTCTCTACAAATTTAATTGTTAAAAAATTAATCAAACGGTCAAAAAAAAAAAAAAAGTTCTACTGGTGAAAGTTTTTTGGAGTTTCACCATAAAGGCTGTCTAATAAATAATAATACAAAAATCTTGTTAAGCCATGATTTTCGTGGATCCACCTGCACACCCAAAAAAAAAAAAAAATCTGTGCGTTTGAAATTGGATTGGGGTGGCACAACAATGTGGGCATGGTGCTTCCTAAATTCCAACGAACCAAATATATATATATATATATATATATATATTACTGCCAGGTGTTGAGTTTTAATTAACAAAACAAACTTTCTCTCTCTATCTTTTTTTTTTTCTTTTCTTTTTTCCTAGTTGGCCTTCTATAGCCAGAGAAGAAGACAAACACTACCTACGGTCCTACACCATTGAGAAGAGGAAAAAGTACCAATAATATTATTTGGTTTACAAACGCGTTAATGACGCATGTTAAACAAAATAAAGTTTGTTAAGGCCTCGTGGATTCGAGTTTTTAATTCGAATTAAGATGTGATATTTTTTGATAATTTTTTATTATAATAAAAAAAGTTAGATGTGATATTTTTTAAGAATTGTTCGGTTGCATTTTTGAGTTATGGTAATTTGAGTGTAGATCTTAAGTTGAATTTGAGTTATAATTTGAGTTGAAACAGCCCCGTTCATTTCGCCGATTCGAGTTTAGAATTCGAGTTTTGCTACAGTAAAAAGCTCTCATAAACAATCACATATAACTTTTTTGCTACAGTAAAAAACTCTCACACAAAATCACATCTCAACTCGAATTACAAACTCGAATCAGCGAAGTGAATGGGCTTACACATTTGAGTTATGATTTGAAATGAGAATCTATTTGAGTTTGTATTTGAATTGGTCAAAATTTGAATTTGTATTTAAATAGTATTTTAATAAAAACTCAATGGTAATAAAAAATTTTAATAGGGTATATGTGTGAGGTTTTATTCGTCTTTTCGTTGTGAACGCATAGAAAAAAAATAATCTCAATCGGAATTAAAACGAAAAAGTTATGACATTTTTAATAATAGAAAAAATAGTGTTCATTAACTTGAGTTTGAGTTTAAGAACTTAAGTTTAAGTAGAAACTTAAACTCAGATTTTAGCCTCAAACTCGAGTTAAAACTCAAGTTCAAACTCAAATTTTACAAACGAACATGAACTTAAATAAAATTATAACTTGAGTTCAAACTTTTTTTGAGTTTTACTCCAAAAGAACAACCCTAAATCATTAGATTTTTCTCTATGGCCCATTCACTAAAATGTCGCAGCTTGGGGCCTATATAGTATAATACCAAATGAAAACGAGGGGCATGATTGTAATTTGGACAATTAGGTTGTGTTTGATGTGAAGCATGGATGAACTATGAACGGATGAGAATGGATTAATACTCGTCCCTAATCTTGTTAGTTATGTTTGACACCTGATTATGATTTGATGCTTTCCTGGTTTGGTGGGGATCTATAATCCTTTTTATATACACAGGATATGTTATCCTACGGAAGTAAAATATTTTAATCTCTCTTAATGCCTTTTCTTTTCCCTCCGATCAATAGGCACGTCGAAGCATTTTTTTATTATCTTTACTTAAAAATATGTATAGTTTATTATAGAAAATCTTGAAAAGTACGGGCCCGTTTAGTTCGCTGATTTAAATTTTTAATTCGAGTTAAAATGTGATGTTATGTGAGAGCTTTTCACTGTAGTAAAAAACTTAGATGTGACTGTTTCTGAGAATTTTTTACTATAACAAAACTCAAATTCTAAATTCAAATCGACGAAATGAACGGGACCATTATTTAT